GAAAGGAAAGGAAAGGAAAGGAAAGGAAAGGAAAGGAAAGAAGGAAAGGAAAGGAAAGGAAAGGAAAGGAAAGGAAAGGAAAGGAAAGGAAAGGAAAGGAAAGGAAAGGAAAGGAAAGGAAAGGAAAGGAAAGGAAAGGAAAGGGACCCTTATAATCAGAATGTAAATTACAGTTACCCAGGGAGGGAGTGGATGGCTTCTTTCGGTGTGTGCTTTGAACTGACCACAGCAATGGTCACTCTGGGCACAAGCCTTCTTCTCCACTGACCACTGAGCTGTAACAGCTTTCATGGGTCAGGTGAACAGCATGGAGAGTATGTCTCAGTAAAGCTGTTTTCTACAAAGAACACAAAGAGCTCTCTGCATATGCTCATTAGAAGGCAGGGGGCATGACCTGTTGCTCTATGGTAATGTCCTTACTAGGCCATTATGCTAAACTCTGCCCTGCAGATAAAAGAAGTAGAAGCAAGGGTTGGGACTGGCTGGGGAGAGGCTCACTGGGTAAAGGGTTCACTGGGCAAGCATGGGGACATGAGTTCAGATCCCCAGCACCCATGTAAAATCCCAGGCATGGTGGCACAGGCCTGTGACCTCAGAGTGAGGGGAGGAGGCAGAGGCAGGAGAATCTCTGGGGCTCACGAGCCAGCCAGTCTAGCCAAGTTGGCAAGTTGCAGGTTTTGAGAGACACTGTCTCAAAAAATTAGGTGGGGAGCTACTAAGGAAGACACCTCTGGCTACCTAGTGTGCACACGATACTGAGCGAACCTACCTGCTGATGCACACGCACACACTACCCATGCACACATGCGCATGCACACACATCCCAAATCAGAAAAAGTGGCATTGGGAAGGCTTGTGTCAATTGCTGCCCCAGAAGCCCCACAGCAGGGCTTTAGAAGGGCTTTTGAGGAAAGTTCACCAGCACTGGGGGTCGACCTGATTGGATAAGAAGCCACAGGAGGAAGGATGACTGTTGGAAATAGCTTGGATGGGCTCTGTCTCTTTAAAGAACAGTGCGCAGGGTGGGTTCCATCTTGCTCCTAAGCCAGGGGTAAATTCTACAAGGGCTGAAGGCTTATAGGGAAACGCGCAGGGGTGGGGAAGGGAGGGCAGGGTACAGGCATCAGAGAGATGCTTCCCAGCGTGTCATAGGCTCAATACAGTCTGCTCACATGACAGACACTAACAAGGAAAGCCTCATGCAGATAGCCACAGGTAGACCATGAAAAGGAAGGTGGGCCATGGAACAGCTAAAATGCCAGCTTTCTTTCCTTCCAGGACAGATCCTGGGAATAAGATGGACCGTGAATATTTGCTGACCTCTCTACCATTCCAAAAGGACATCTCCTACTAAGTTGGCAGGGAACGTACTGTAGTCAACCAGAATAGCTAGGGCTTGTTGGGCATCTATTTGTTGGGCCCTGTGCTAAGTAAGAGCTAGTAACTCATGTAATCATCTGTGAGGTT